AAAAGGAATTTCGACGGACAAGCCTCACACGAGAGCCAAGCACCCCCTCAAGCCCAACCCACTGCACCCCTGACAAGAAAACCGACGACCGCACCAACTCCTCGCCATGGCATCTCTGGTAGGAAGCAATCCACGCGAAGAAGGACCGCCGCTCGTCGGGGACCAGACTGACCGGAAAAAGAGGCATCGACTCCCGCGCCGCCACTGGCCGCGCCCCCCGCTCCGGTGAGGAGGCTCTCAGATCGGGAATTTTGAGACTAGGGTTTAGAGAATTTGGGGCAAAAACGGGAGAGAGAAGAAATTTTACTTTGTTATTGAAATTTATTCAAAGAATAAAAATTGTTTATTAAATGGTCATGTAAATATACAAAACACAAATTATGGCCATATTTTGTAAATATATATACATATTTTAGATATTTTGACATGTGATAATACTAAAATACCTCAAACTCAATTTTACCTTTACGCTATTTTTCTTTCCCCCGAATTCAATATTCACATCACACGATTCTTCTAATTCAGTTCATTTTAATTTTCAATTCATATTCACATCACACCGTCCGAGCGGCTTGATTCATCTTAAAAAATTCAACTTAAAAAGATCATCTTCATCTTCAGCGGCCCATTCTCCATCACCTCCTCAAACGCCCCATTGAGAGACTCCTCCACGGCAACACCGTCCGAGCACCTCATCCTCCAGTCCAAATACCATCTAGGAAGTTCCACCTCCGCCCTTCACGCTTCACGACCTTGCCCTCACTACCTCACGGCCTGGATTGCGTGGTCATTTGTTTGCTCAACTCCTCGCCAGAATCTGAAATCAGGTAGCGACCTCGCGACCCCCATTATTTTGTTCGAATTAGTGTTTTTTTTTGTTTGGATTAGGGTTTTTTTTGTTTGAATTAGGGTTCTTGGGTGAGGTTTTTGATTGGGGTTGAGATTAGTGATTTGGGTTCATGTTCGAAACAAGCAAGTTTATTGAGAAAACAAATATTAGTGATTACATGATTTCAAGATACAGAATTAGGTTCTTTGATCTCTTCAAGAGGGTTTCACTAGGCAAATATTTTCTAATGGGTGATAGACTTTGTAGGCATATGGATAAAAATTCTAGCTATTTATTTTCGTCCCTTAAGTTTAAGGTTTCGATGGTAATTTGAATATTAAGATGGTGATGTTGGAGTATACAGTAAAGCAAACATTTATGTGAGCTTTTATAATGTATTTATGATTTCCCAGTTAGCTGAAATAAATGTTTTCATATTATTGTTGCACTCTTTATGATTGCATGTATCTAAATGTCCAATTGTCTTATGTTGTAGACAATGTGGTGTATTAGTAGTCACACAGAAGATTACATTGTCGGTTCCTCATAAGATATAAATGGTATTCACAACTGAGATAGTTATGGGCAAGACTTTCGGTTTAGGTTGTAGTATAAATTAAATGTAGCTTGTCTTGGCTATTGGTTTATACTAGTGCTCTGCATCGCATTGAAAGGATCACAGTTGAGACTTGTTCTCGGTGACTCCACTATTTCTTAACCCTAACTGTGATACTTAGATATGTGGGGTATTTGTTTGTTACTTTGACTTGCCATGAGTGAGAACCAAGTATTGGTTCGATATGCTCCGTATCTTGGGTAACGACATTATCTGCATGATATCTATTTATTGACATTAGGGCACCGTGTCCTGGACATCCAGGTTGATGACGTCCCCTTAAGGAACTCATCAGGATTATTGTATAAACCCTGCAGGTGGATTTAATTTGTACGATAATGAGGTTGAGTGGTACTACTTAGGGAATAATAGATATTAATTAATTAAAGCAGTCAGAAGCTTTAATAAATGGACGTGCGGTATCTTAAACACGGGGAATTATATCGAGTCTAATAGAAGCCCTGATTCATTTCGGGATAGGACGAGAGGGCAATATTAATTCTTTAGTGGAATGAATTAATATTTACGGGCCAAATTATGTTCTGGGCTAAACATAAGAGTTTGGGCCTGTAGGGAGCCCAAACTCTATACCTTCTAAGAGATCCCTAGGCTGGCCCAAGGACCTTTATAAAAGAGGGGGACTTCCCACGTTCTAAAACCCTAGCACTCGTGAGACACTCCAACCACCATCGTGGAGAGTAACGAGAAGGGTTCGAGAAAGACGAGGGCAATCCACTTCTTGCAACCGTTTGGTAGATCGTGGTCCATCTGACATCCAAACGTGGTCGGGACACAGACTAGAAGATCGCTCAGATCAAATCAAAGCCTCAAAGAAAGGTATTTTTTTGTTCATGCTTTAGGAGCATGCCTAAGGTATATTCAAAATCATGTATGTACGTGTTTGGTATCCGATATCGATCCGTGAGATGGACCGCCTCGCCGACATGTTCCAGCAGGTGAGTGCATAGATTTTGTTATAATTTATAAGAAACTTATGTTGTAGTTTAGT